GTTCATCTGGGTTTTTTAAAAAAAAAAAAAAAAAAACCACGATCATCAAACCTATGGTAATTATCCTAATGATAGACTGCTCGAGTGGGAGATACACAGGCCTATTTCCCAAGCATCCACACAGTCAGGCCTCACTATTGCCAAAGTTTGTATCCTGACAGAAATCTCACTTCAGCTATTTCCTCCCAGATATTGTGGGGAGATACTGTCTGTGCTGTACAGGAAAGTTTCAAACACTAATGTCTTATTCCAGGAATAAATGGCCAGTCATTCTGGTTCTTTGTTTGCTTTCTCACCCGTGTGTTCATGGATGTTACACAGACCAATTTGATACATGAGATAATCAACATCATCCCAAATTCCATGGGGTGTTTGGTTGATCAACACCTCCAAAAAAAAGTCGGGCAGTTCACGTAAGGATATCTAGGTCTTTAAATCTGCCCCTTTTTGACTGCACAGCAATTCTCCTTTTCTATTTTTTCCTCTTATATTATTCACCCACTCTGATTTTCCCACTGAACTTTCTAGTCAAAGGGCATTTAATGAATACAGTTTGAAAACAAAAACAATCTTGTTAAGTATCTCAATAAAACCTAGTGTCAAGAGTTCGCTGAGAAAGGGTACAGGATGGAAAAACCCCAAAGAAAGAAAAAAAAGAATGAAAGCTCTTCATCAAGAGGGTCACTGGCCTGCTATCTGCTCATGCTGTCCAGCAGCATGCTCAGTGCTAGATTTGTACTAAGTCTTCTTTGGTAAAACATAATTAAAGATCAGATCTCACATGTCTTCTGTAAAGACATACAACAAATAAGCCCATTATTTCAAACTCACTGCACAGACAAACCACGCTTATTTAAAAATTAGTGCCCTCTTGTTGAGTTGCAAACCATATTTTATCAAAAAGGCACATACATCAAGGACACGGCTTGCAAAAAAGCAATCTGACAAATAGTAAGCAGCCATTGCTCTGCACAGATGAGCCCTTGCAGAATCCAGTTTGCTAGCAGATACACAGAGGGGGAGCAGTGGCTTAATAAAAAAAGTAAAGTGCAGAAAACGACAAAATACCTCCCTGCGGTGTTACCTCCCCTCCGAGACTGTTTCTCTCACTAACGTGAGGTCACTCCGTTCTTAGAAAGGCAGATGCTAAAACAGTGATTCATTTTCACTGAGGAGGTAGCCCTGGATACGTTTTCAGCAGTGATTAATGATTGGGCAGAATCATCTGGAATTCAACAGGTCGCTTGGGAACCAGGAGAGAAATCCAAGAGTCGCGTCACCAAACACTCGGTTCGGGCCAAACTAAAAATAGATCTAATGAAGTGTCAGTGGAGTTGCTTTTTTTTTTTTTTTTTTTTAAACAGTAAGAAAACACAAACTACTCAATTTTTCCTATCAAGAGAAAAACCACACTTTGGTGTGACAGCATGCTCTCAAGGCGCTGCCTAGACGCATTTGCTCGCTAAAGAGCCAATGGAAGCAATCGCAAGATCACGCACCCGAGCTAAGCCCACCACATACAAAACAGTTTCTCTTCACAAACTGCTGTCTACATCTGTCTCACCAAAGCCTTAGGATCTCTTTTTTGCCTGACTAACTTACCAGAGCTGTTAAAAGTTTTCATGAATTGTAAGTCTTGAGAAGATTGTAATGATCTTGTTGGGCTTCATTTGCTTTCCTGCTTAGAGAAGTTCACGCAACCTCACCCACAAATCCTGCATCGCCACAAACCTGCAGTTTGTTATCAGCAATACCTGCAGCAGAAAATCCATCACTCCTCTGGACATGCTGATAAGTCTCAAAGGTAAAAATATTCATCTTTGCAGGTACAGCTGGACAAATTCAACCTGAAGCCACAAGGCCTTGCTATGCCTTTATCTACATAGAGCCTTCCGTTATCAAAACCTTCTTTCCATATAGCAGCTTCCAGACCACAGCTAGGTCATTAATTTAAGTTTCCTTCTCTTGAGATCTGCTTAGTTTGCCTAACTCCCACCAAGGCACCTACTCAAATTGCTGTAAAACCCTCACGCACAGGGAAGTAGTGCTTTGTGGGAGAACAGAGCTATACCAGTGTGATGCAACACATTTCTTCTCCGCACTACGCTCAAGACAAAATTCCTCTTTTAGAAGTAGAGCAATCCACTTACATCGAGATATTGCTAACGCCGCATACACTAATATATTAGCTACAACCACAAGTGTTATCATAGTACTGTCAGCAAGATTTTAGCATCGCTTTTTTTTTCTTTTTTAAAAATGAAGATTAGACCAACACCAACAGAAAACTGCGTGGGAAAGCTGTGCACATCCCACATGCTTCCCACCAACGCTCTACGGTATCAGTATGAATATCTTTGACCACACACAGTTATGTGAAACCATCAGATAACCTTGCCAACAATTACTGTGCTATGAGGGCACTATGCTGAACTGGGACACAAGGCTTTGACACATGCAAATCTGAAAGGCAGGCAGCAAATCACCTACTTGTTTTCTATGGATAAAGCTGAAGCCCGGACAGGCAGGATTAAATAGCACCTGAAACAGCTCCTGAACCACTGCAGTTTCAGCACAGTACATTAAAATACAATAAAAACAATCTCTTTACATTAATATGCCAGAGTAAATAAAGTTCAGAAACCACTAAGTTATTTTGTCTGATGGAAGTTGCTATCTTGGGACAGTTAGAGCAGACAGCTGGATGCGATAACATCTTCAGCTGTCTGATTTGAACTTGCTACTGCATGTTATTTAGTGGCTCATTTCCCAACCCTGACCCCGATCTGCTGAGTGACCTTGGGCAAAACATCCTCCTCCTCATCTTCAGCCATCAAGTGGAGTTAGCGATTGATAGAAATGCCTTCAGGTCATGGATTAAAAAACCTCTATAGAAAGTTTACCATTTTTTAAAATTATTATGGTCTTTAGTCATAGCTGGCACTTTCTGCTCCAGGCACAGACAAAACTGGTTTCTGACCCTTATCAGGTTTGTCTCAGAGCTGTTTGAATACAATTTGTTCAGCACTAGCATCACTGAAAGGTTGGATGTTAGTTACCAGTGTAACTTCGGATCTGGCTCTACAAATGGAAAGTTGTCTTTCTGTTGCTGTGATGATAAAGTCTCCACTCACTATTCATCCAGACATAAATATTTGAAAGATAAAGTTTAAGTACCAAGTAACTTGAGTATTACAAAATGACACTAGACATACTTTCAAAATTTGTCGAGTTTCAACATTAGGGAAAAAGGAATACTAGAGGATCTGGTCTAAGTCAATGAACAGACACTGATTGGTAATGGTGTCTGTAGTGGAGTGGAAAAAATGGGAACCCAACCCATAGCAAATTCACATAACAGAAACTCCCATACATTAGAATAAGAGTTCCATTTCAAGGGTACCACACTTCAGGTGAAAGCTGTTTTCAGCAAAACTTCATTTTAACTCATTATGGAGATGTTTCCTTGTCAGCCATCTCTACTCTCAGTAGCTCACTAACACCCTCTCACCGTCTTTATTTTACATGAGGATTTCCACCTCTTCCTTCTCCTCCACTTTCAAAAGGCCAAAGGAAATTCTATTAGCCTAGGGAGAGAGATTAGAAGGGAATCTTGCTTGTCCTACTCTTGGTACAAGCCCTATTTAGGGTAAAAGATGGTCCAGTCTCCCTAAAACCTAATGGAAAACAGAACCATCCTCCTCCTTGGCTATGTGAAATACTATCTGTTTGAAGGGTTTTGGCAGTGGTGGTGGTGGTGTTCTTTCTTCTAACGAAAAAGCCATTTAGTTTCTATAATAGTCTGACCTCAGTGGGCCTCTACTTAGGTCAGGCACTTCAGACACTGCAGTGTCATGAGACATCAAGAACAAGATTAGGCTTCTGCTTCATTTATGACAGTGCACCTTCCACATTGGGACAGGGCCTTGTGCAACTATGGTCTCAGATTAATTTTCTGGTCAGAACAGTAAATACTTTTTAAAGAAAGTATAAACAGTAGATGACAGCTCTTTATAGCAGGAAATGCCTTTTTAACCTGAAGTGGAAAACTGTATAGGTTTAAATAAGCCTATTACAGACACTAGTCATTTATGCACCTTATAAGCAACACTCATTTTGACTGAACGATTAAGGTAATTTGTGACTTTTATTAGAAAGCTTCAGTTACAGAATTAATTGCTTTATAAAACAAAACAAATTCATTCCTACAAACTCTTGTTTTGCTTTCAAATATTCCAGAAAAGTGTGAATATTTGGCAGCACCTTCAAATGTATATTCATTGAAGAGACATATTTAGGAAAGTGACAGATGGAAATTAATGAAACGGGAAGCTTCTCCAAATCAAGATTTGGATCTCAGTGCTACTCTTCTTTGATTCTACAATAATTAGACTGACTTAAAGGATCCAACCCAACCCATGGTCACCATAGGACCTACAAGGGGTGAATGAGTATCCAAACAGATGTGTAAACTGGACCTGCTTATTCTATCAGTGTTATTTAAAAAGTAATTTTGTTTCGCTGCTTTTAAAGACATAGAACAATTACAAAGACCACCAGAACGTATCCAGAATTGAATCTAACGACACATTTACTCCAGGGCCAGCTGCAAGCCTTCTGGAAAATCACCAGGCAAAGCTGATACATAAAAAAAATTTTAAGTGCCAATACAGTTTTATTCCAACATTTTCCACTTTGAAGAAGAACACGCAAGAGCTATTGGCAAAGCAGCATTATCTGCTCTCCATGGGAAAAGAAAGCTCAGCTTTACTGTATGCGATCATAGTAGGAGTGGTAACTGAACTGCTCTATTAGGAATTCCTTTCTCATCTTCCCTGGTCAGGAGGATATACGTTACAATGTAGCGATTCAGAGAAAAACAGGAAGATATTTCAGGTTGCAGAGTCTCGCAGAAAAACTCATCAAGGACTTAGCTGACTAACACAGACAGTACCTGAACTGATTAAAGAGCAAAGTGTCAGTGATGTGCAGTCACTTACCTGTTCACAGAGAGAAGGAGCTGGTCCATACACGCTTTGATCTTGTTCTGTGCTTCTAGGTGTGTCATGTTTTCTGTGCTCTCTCCATTTATTGCCAGAATAATATCTCCTGGGCATAGGTTTGCCATGGCCGCCTTACTTCCAGGGTTAATCTGTGCCGGGAAAAATAGAGTTATTTAAAGGAACATTCAGTCTAAAAGGAGACACGTTTCTTGGAACAAGAAGCAGATAGAGCAAATGGTTATCTATGGAGAAGATCTATGCATTTTTACCTGCATAGATGGCACCTACCACAGCTTGAATCCCAAGAACACTAGCTGAGGTATCTGCCTCAGTTTTCTGAAGGCCATGTTCAGCAGTAATGACATCAGGTGCTGGCTCTTTCAGTTAACAAAAAGATTTCTGTCAACCTCAGTCTGTATGTCATCAGATCCTCTCTTCAGATTTGGTCTCTTGCTTAAAATAATGAAATATCCTCTTTAGAGAAAGTTAGTCCCTTAATTCCTTTGACTCATTTGGTTTGCAGGCTTTAAAATATACTTTGAGGCCCAACTCCTAGAGAGCACACAAAACCCTGTTTCTCTGGAGACGTGATTTAAGCATGATAGCTCATCCTAATTCCTTCCTGTGGAGATGTCGCATCCCACACCAGTTTTCCCTGACCGTCATTCAAATTACTTGTCTCATTCTAACTTTGCATGGAATGTCAGGTTGTTCATTAAATGTCCACAACTCTTTCCTACCGTTTTTGTAGGAATGCCAAAACCTTACAAAACTCTAACTTCTTTCCTGTGGAACTAATGACAGGCCCAACCATTTGTGGCTGAACGCAAGGCCAAACCCGCAGCTCGTAACAGAGTTTCTTTGAAATTACCATTTCATTTACATTAGGCCAAACATGCTTTATAAATTTTTGTATTGTGGCATTTTGTGTTATTGCACAAGCAGAACAGGTAAACAGGTTTCTAACTGTTTAAAATCTTAATAGCTACATGTTTGTCCTTGAATTTTCTCTTCAGTCACTCAGAGCATCTGTTAATGCTCTGATAACTAATCATATCGTTTATCGAATGAGAAAGTGCAGTGTGCCTGACACTGCAGTTATTCATATCTCACTGCATTTAAGATACGATGGTACCCATTTAGCCCTTATTTATATTGGTATAATCCTTTGTTTCAGGAGATGGGTCACTGCTTCATCAGATCTTGCACAACCACTGAAGCACATCCTTTGAGGAGCAAGCAGCCCAGGTGGAGAAGACACCTGCTTCCAGAGGAACTCGAGAGATTCCACCCTCAACCCCTGTGTATGTTACAATTAATCACCAAATTATGGCCTGTATAGTCCCTTGGCAATGGCATTTTCTCATGGCAGAGGGTGCAGAGGAGACACAGACCAAAGCCAAATGAAAAACATCAGTTTAGCTTCGCTTTCTACTGTACCAGAAATTGTGAACTGTGCACAACCTAAAGTTACACAAAACTGCCTTCTCTGACATGGATGGCATGTCATGAGCCAGTTGCTACTAACTCACACTATCAATTAAAAATAACAACAACAAACAAAAAAAACCCCCACATTTGTAGCATCATTGGGTTTGGTTTCAGAACAAAATTAAGAGCCATTCTGTGATATGGCACAGAGACAGATTTGGAGGGAAGGGGATCAGAATTCTGTAAATCAGGACACAGCTCAAAAAGCAGAATCACTACTTCATTCTCCACCTCCCTCGGTGCATAATTTAACCTGGTAAATGCAGGAAACCAGATCATAGTGAAACAAGTATACGATTTTTCAAACAGTCTGAGATTAAATTCCAGTCACCTGTTTCATGATGCCAATAAGCCCACACGACCCCCTGCACTTTATTATTAATCAGATGGCCTTTTTAAGAGAGGCAGGCACATGTTTCTTTTCATCTTGGTCCGATTTTGTCAGTTCGTATTTTCATACGGGATTTGAAGCAGATCCAGGCTCACCACCACCCAAAGCCCTGTGGGCAACGTCCTGGAGCTCCTCCTAGGAGCCAGGCTGGTAAAAGAGCAAGAAACAAAGGCAGCCAACAGCCTGCCAAAGGGTAAGGACTGTAGCACCTCGTCAAAACGCTCCCTCTGCAAAGACAGTCACAGATACTGTTCATTGGGACTGTGAACCCAAAGGTGTTCGAGACGCTCCAAATCACTTTTTGCATTTAAGCAGAACTGGCAGCCTGAATTAAGCCTTTTGTTGCATTGTCAGAGTAAATCAACATTTGCTCTTCAATAGTTTCAGCTAGACTGTTTAGCTCTGAAGAAACCACTGGGCTCCCTCCTTCCCTTGTTTGCAGGCTGGCCTATGACTCAGCTCAGAACAAACAATAGGAGGTATTTCTTAACACACCACCTACATTAGCTGTGGAGCTCTGACAGAGAACACTGAACACTTCTTTTGTTTAAACATAGGTTCAAACAAAACATAACATAGACCAACGCATGCCAGGAAAACAAAGCATCTCCAGACACTTGGCCGTTCTTATACGCTGCACTAGGTGCCCACCATTCAACCTCTGCTGCCAACAGCAGCTATTGGAGCAACAGACCTCTGGTTTGACCTGGTACAGCTGCACCTTGTTCTGTAGTGTCTATTCAATGTAGTCGAAACGTCCGATAGATTCTTCTCCTTGCTTTGATCTTAACCAGATCTCAACCTGCTTGGAGAATAAGCAGGATAATACTCACAAATGGGACTCTTAGCTGTTTCCTATTTTTAGTAACTGGTTTACTTCAAGTTATTTTGGCAATATCTTCATACTAGAATTTTATGCTCTCCTCAGAAGTGACTGAGGGCTCAAAATGAAACTACATTTAAAGAGCTCATTAGTTTGAGAAACAACATCTGTGTCATGCTGGCTTAGGAATCAGTAATATGCATCAAACCTAAAGTTTATGTTTGTTAGTGAATAACATTTAAAAAGCTTCAAGTCAAGTTCTCCTAACTTATAGCAGTGCAATGTCATTGACACCAAACAAGCCACAGGGAAGCCCAAGCTACTTAGAGTCTGTGGGACACCGGCTTTGGTCTGGGATTGCATCCGAGTCCTGAATGAACAAACCCCAGGGAAGGCCACGTTACTAAGAAGGCACAGGACGCTGGCCTTGGTCTGGGATTGCATCCGAGTCCTGAAGCACAGGCTCTCGGGCGAGGGCAGCATTTTACCTGCTTTCCTGCATGCAGTCCACACAAAAAGCCTAGAGGAAAACAGAGATCTCTGGAAGGATGAGGATGTGTTAACTGCAATAACCTTTGATCGTAACAGAGCATATGCTTCCAGTGAAACATCTAAGATGACCCTCTATTACCATCACAGGGAGATGAACAGCATGTGATAAAGTAACAGGAGGGATCTGGGTGTCTCGAGCACCTATCGCCAACTAGCAGCAATCGGTTCCAACCAGAACGCTCCAAGTTCTCCAGCAGTCAGTTTTCTCTATAAATTCTAGCTACTGCCAAGCTGCCTGCTAAGAATCTACTGTCCCCATGTTCTGCATGTTAAGCCCAGCCCTGGAGAACCTCAGTTCTCCACAAGCAATGTGTACCATAACTATCTGCACTGCATGTTGCTGTAAAGTCTATACAGTTGGTGGAATTAAAGCCCACTAGTGAAAAAGAGGTTTTGGCACACCTTTTAACAGAGGCACTGATTCATGCCTCCATTCGGAGAGAACTGGTTACTGATCACAGCAAACTAGGTATGTGTGAAGTGAAGGAAGCACCCACAAGTTTGAGAGTAACTGGATATATTAAGTTAAAAACACTGCAAAAAGTCTGCACAGGGTCAGTGGACTTCTGCGTTCTTGAAATGGAGTCTGCATCATTTCCAAAGGAATTTATATTTAAGGATGAGACAGGCTTAAGGAAAACATTGACAAAACTTTTTCTTTAAATAAAGTTTTCTTTCAGTGCTAAGAACAAACTTTTTAAAGGTAAAGCTGAACGAACACTAAAGATACATAACTTGAGCTGGTGTGAATAGTTTTCAGTGGAACTAGGACAGGCTGTGTCAGAACTTGTCTCATTGCATTGCGCACAGAAAAGCAATGTGGAAGCGGAGTGCTCCGAAATGAAGCAAGCCCTAACTCACTTGCTATGCTCCCGATGCCCTAAGAAGGGAGCACAAATTCCTTCCTCAGAGATGCCAGCCGCATCCTGTTTGTGCCACGTCTTGGCTTGTCCATATTGGAAGTTTATCAGCGTTTGGGCTGTTTGCACATTTTGTCCTCCAGTGATGAGTTCAAGAATGGCATTTGCGTGGTAGTGAGTAGCTAGCACAGTCCCTCACATCCTACCAAAGCCACTGTGGCTACAGGGTGCCACATGACTGTTATCTTAGGACCAGAGTGAAATGCTGCTGGTAAATCACTTAAGTAGGTGAAGCAATTACAGCACTTTCAGCTTGCTTTATTATGAGCTGTTGTGCCATCTTACTGCTGTACCTGTTTGAATTCCCAAAAGCAATGTTATGCCCCCTATTCTATTCTCAGTACTTCTGTCTTCTCAGTTAGATGCTCATTTGCATCTTTGAGAATTTAAGTTTAGCGAGGCTGCTTATGTTTTACAAGGCTTTTAGTTAAGAAAGAACTAAGCCCTCTGTCTTATGGCCACAGGAAAAAAGCCAAATTATCAGATTTTCACTAACCTGCTTTTTTGGTATAACCACAATAATGAAATATCTTATAATACACCTATTTGGAAACAGTGCAGGATGAATATGCTGAACACTGCCATACATACACCAGACACTATTCAGATCATGGAGTCACTGTTTTGCGGCATTCAGTGCCAGAGCATGCAGCCTCCAAAAGACCTCTCCTATTTGTACCACGGTGGTGACACGTTCTCAGTACACGTTCAGAGCAATCAAGTATATGGCAGTCAAAATCATAGTAAACACTATGGGCTTACTAAAGAAACCTATAAATAATTTGTATTGAAGTCTCCCTAAAGATTTTTTTTTTCAAATTAGGTAAGAATCCAGCCTCATTCAAAAGCTCTGCAATCTGCCAAAGCCATCAGTAATAATCTTACATGACAGTGAACCTAAAACCAATGTGAACACCAGGCCATCAGCTAACTCACACAGGCCAACATGCTGCGGGGTATTGTTGCCCTCCATTTAATGTTCTTCTACCAACCTTAACCCAAGGCCACCTGATGCAGACTTGGAGTGAAGTTGCAAAAGACAGTTTAGCCAATCTAACAGCTTGTCCAGTAAAGGGAAGACCTTCTCTCTGCATCTTCCCCACTCTTGGCCCTGTGGTCCAGCCTCTTCCCTTGTGTCAGCTTTGGTGCTCAGGTGGTGTTCTCAAGGAGGATGTTTGAGACTTGGATGCAATTCAGCAGAAGAACTGAATGGCTTTCTGTCAGCGAGTCAAACTGACTCAGTAAAAGGGTCTAGTGAGTGTAAGAGCTGGCACCTGGGAAGGGATGGACTTACCAGCTGGTGGTAAACTTTTCATGAGATGATGATTAGGCAGATCCAACATGGTCATTTGTGCTGGATACCTAATACCCATCACAGTCA